CTACTACTACTACTACTACTACTGCGTTATATTTACTAACAAACTTATATCCTAGACGTTATTCAACGTAGCCAGTGGAGCTATTTCTCATAATATTGTTCACGAACAGGAATAGTTCCAATAGAAGAGCTTTAAGACTTATTACTTCGATTGAAATCCTAATGGAGTTTTGTAACCACCTGACTTGACCGCATTCCCTGAAAGGAATTATGGGTCAACTATTTTTGGTTAAAATTGTTGAAGCAGGCACCGAGTAAAATGTCCGTGATTGAAATGGAATTCCGCCATGAGTTCGACTAGCATTCACAATCAATTTAAAGAATTAAGAATTCATATTTCACGGGTTTTCTTTGCAGAATCATGGAAAAATGCTAATCAAAATATGATGTTGAATCTTCAATTCTGATCGTTTGACCTTGAGTTTGTTCTAAAGGTCAAATCAGCTGGTATGAAAAAATGCATAAATTTCATAAATGTTTTTAAACCATCTGAGTTTGCGCGTAAGTATATACTTCACGTCTATTTTATTTTAAACGCGTCCCACATGGAAAAGAATAGGACAAAGGTTCTTAGTCACCATCGACATAAGTTGGTTTTCGAGTCTGCTGGTCATAGCAAGGGGTTAATCATCTACAGTCTAGGGGCCGACTAACCTCTCCCTTAGGCTTCGTCCGAGCTTCCTGATCAGTTTGTAAATCTCCGGATAGCGGTGTCGGGGTCGAAATCTCCGGCGTAGCCGTAAATGCTTCGCGCTGCCATACGACGGTTCAGCACTCGATGTCTGGAAGTATGGTCCCAAATTAATCAATGAGTAAAAAAGTACCAAAAATGACTACCCTTATAGCAAGTAACTTTAAATTTTTAGTGATGTCAAGAGGAACCGTAAGTGCGCATGCGCGTTTGCCGTGGCTTCGCTTCCTTACAGACGCGATTGAAATAGTATCATTTATCAGAAGTCATATCTTATTAAAGATGATAATGTTGAAGATATTACAATATTATATTGAAGCTATCATAATTCACGATAAATCACGATATTTTGATCAACCTCCAATAATCGCTTAATATATACATTTAGGCACTGCCTAAAAGCGGAGCTCCCGATGCGGAAGTCACAGGGAGAACAATTTGAATGAAACTGAAAGGTAAAAATAAGATCGGGGAAAAAATCTTCAATTATTTTTTATTCGAGATGAAGATAATTTCTCTCATAATAAAAACCATGCAGTGAAATCRAATTTTGTTCTTGAAAGCCTCTTCGACATAGTTTTCCAAGGCCAGTTTTAGGCTTTGAATCTCTTTTACTTAAGGTATCAGGGTACCCCAAAATTGCTCAAAAGTATCGATTTTTACATTTTTACATTTTGCGATAAAATATATATTATTTTTCGATTTTTGCCCCTAAAAATTTCGATAGTTATTTTTAATAGCGAGTAATAAAAAAAATACGGTTTGTGTCCACAAAGGCGCTTCCGCTCAGTGAGAAACATTTTTGCGTTTTTCTCGAACGTGATTTTGCGTTCAGTTACCCGTACATTTTGAGTCCGATGTCAAAAGGAATTTGACCGATTTAACTGAAATTTTGAGGAAGTCATCTTGAATAGTTGTTCTTCAAAGCGTGTCTCCGATTTTTTATTTTTTTGCTTATTTCCAAAGTTATCGTGGATTTTGGCTTGCATACCGGTGATGTAGCAGCGTCATGACTTTAAGAGCGTATGAAAAAGCAACGGGGCAACTAATCAAAAATCGGAGACACGCTTTTGACAAGTGATGTCTTGTGATCTCGGAAAGGTAATAAGCGTTGGTTTCCGGTTTTACAAAAAGGAAACAAGGAATAGTTTCTACATTTATTCAGCTTTCAGAAAATGTATACTTTGTTGAGGTTTCGATAAAAAGGTTTTGTGCTATCAAGAGTTGAATGCACAATGGTCGCTAGGGGCACCCTGATACCTTTAAAAAAATGAAAGATAGCTACAGATAATCCATTACAATATCAAGTTTAGTGAAATTTACCTCGGATGTCTTTCATTGAAATCAAATTGGAAAATCTGGAGATTTAGGACAAATCAAGACTAAAAAAGCAGACTTAAACTGGTTAAGGTGAGCAGAAAATAAGCTTACTTTCAGTTAAACTTTGACAAGAACAACTGAGACAAAATAGAAAATAATGCAAAAGGCAATGCAAAATACAAAATGACGAATTTCTTTTTTACTAAATTGGCGTTTGTAAATATTTTAAAATATTTTTTAGCTTTTTAAAGTGAGGTAATTAAGTAATTTCATTCAATAATTAAATAAATTATCTGTAGAAAGATATAAAATTATTGAATGAAAGTCTTCAGCTTTGTTTTGCCGATGGGACCCGCGATAGGAGGTGAACAAAGCTGCATTTTTCTTGAACGAAAAACATACGATAGTTGGTTAAAAACAACGGAATTGTTAAATATTCACAAAGCTAAATAAAGGACGACATTTGTTTTCGTTATATGCTCTCCGTGTTATATTTCCTTCAGCATTAAAATAGATTAAGCTTATCTATAGAAATATAAAAAGTTTTGAGAGAAAGTCTTT